AACGATTTCTTTGGAGAACAGAACTGTTATTAGGAAAGAGACTTTTTTTTTTCTTGTTAATTCAATAAGTTTAGTATTGAAAGAAGGTATTGAAAATCATGCATGTGGGTTCAACACAAGGTTTGCATCCAACCTAAAACCAATTGGCTATAGGTGGAGTAGCCTTCCTTATATTTAACTCACAAGTTTCTTACTTTTATACTCGATGTGGGATTTTCCCACTTAACATGCCCCCTCACGTGCAGGCCCGCTATGAATGTCGAATCATGTCACATGGGTTACGCGTCCTTTAAATACAGGCCCGGTAACAACTTCGGGTCCTGTCAAATGGGCTAACACGAGCTTCCCAAGGTAGAACCTAGGCTCTGATACCATGTTGAAAATCCTGCATGTGGGCTCAACACAAGGCTTGCATCCAACCTAAAACCAATTGACAATAGGTGGAGTAGCCCTCCTTATATTTAACCACAAGCTTTTTATTTTTATACTCGATGTGGGATTTTTCCCACTTAACCACTTAACACGCCCCCTCACGTGCAGGCCCGCTATGAATGTCGGGTCCTGTCACGTGGGTTAGCACGCCCCCTTAAATGCAGGCCCGGTATCAACTTCGGGTCCTATCAGGTGGGCTAACAACGGGTTTCTTATGGTAGAACCTGAACTCTGATACCATATTGAAAATTATGCATGTGGGCTCAACACAAGACTTGCATCCAACCTAAAATCAATTGGCTATAGGTGGAGTAGCCTTCCTTGTATTTAACTCACAAGTTTCTTACTTTTATACTCGATGTAGGATTTTTTCACTTAATAGAAGGAAAAAAGAAAAAAAAAATTAAACCATATATACTTTATAGTTGTGGTTGTTTACATTGGAGAGTTAAGCAAGCTAGTACAAGAGTACATGCTTGAAAGAATATTGACATATACGAAAGAAATACCATATTAAACTTAAAAGACATATCTTGCAAGTGTAACTAGTACAAATCTTAGCTCATTTGTCAAAGACATTATCTCTCATAAAAGCGTTCTTATTGTGTCATGAATTTCTGCACACTCATAAACTTGTTTGAACCCACCCTTGATCATTGATCCTATTTGTTGGGGAGCCAACTAGATTGATTTAAGAGCGCACACGTGAAAGAGCGCAAACATATATAAAGAAACAACATATTGAATCCAAAAGACATGCTTATTAAGTTTATAATTCTTCACATATAAATTGCACTCCTTTGAGTCATTTTTCTTTGATGTAGAACTTTTATACATCACTCAACTTGTTTAAACATTTTTTTTTTCAATTCAACAAGAGGAAATACATTAAAAAAAAATGAGAGAGAGAGGTTGTGAGAGGGTGAGAGGAGGCGACCGAAGGACTACGGCAAGAAGGACAACACAGAGCAGAGGGCGAGGAAGATCTGTAGGTAAATGGCAGCAGAGGAAGTCATCGCTGGTGGGCTAGAGGGGAGATCAACTCAACCGGTTT